ATCTACCATTCGTCCGTGCATTGAATATTGCTGCCATATTTGGTCTGGTGCTCCTGTTATATATCTTGAGATTCTCAACAAAATCCAAAGAATGTAATCTTATTGGTCCTCACATAGAATCACAAAATTACTTTTCCCACCGCCAAAGTTTTTTCTCATCAGAATCCATCTTGCACATTTATAAATCTACCATTCGTCCATGCATTGAATATTGCTGCCATATCTGGTCTGGTGCTCCTGTTATATATCTTGAGATTCTCAACAAAATCCAAAGAATGTAATGTTATTGGTCCTCACCTAGAATCATGAATTTACTTTCCCACTGCCAAAGTTTTTCTCATCAGAATCCATCTTGCACATTTATAAATCTACCATTCGTCCATGCATTGAATATTGCTGCCATATCTGGTCTGGTGCTCCTGTTATATATCTTGAGATTCTCAACAAAATCCAAAGAATGTAATGTTATTGGTCCTCACCTAGAATCATGAATTTACTTTCCCACTGCCAAAGTTTTTCTCATCAGAATCCATCTTTCACATTTATAAATCTACCATTCATCCGTGCATTGAATATTGCTGCCATATCTGGTCTGGTGCTCCTGTTATATATCTTGAGATTCTCAACAATTTCCAAAGAATGTAATCAATCCTGACTTGACATCACAACTTTAGTTACTTTCTCACGAATGGCTTCCCTCTTTCTTTTCTACAAATATTTTCATAGCAGCTGTTCAGATGTGCTTTTTTCTTTAGTGCCTCAACTACATGAATTTAAGCTTACTACTTGATTGGCAACTAGGTCTCACTGTTTTACTGTTGAACTAGATAGATGCATCTGTTACTTCTACTCTAACAGTTTCTTTCCTCATACTTTGACTTCCCAGCCACCTAAAATCTTCAAAAATTTAAATGGAACATCAATCACCATTTTCTGCTTTCTTGAACCCTGTTCCTTTATTGTCTGTTTCTCATTCCTCATCACTAAAGTCTTCTCTTTTTTTTTTCACTACCCACAACCCTCTACGTCCAAGTGGCATTGCTTGAAATGAAAATCTTAAAATATACATGGGTGTGTGGCTGAGTGGTTACAAAGTTTGTTTTCCAACCATGGTATCTGGGTTTGAATCTCACCATAGTTGATTTTTCAGAGTAGTGACTTTTGGATGTTATTGTTCTGGGGAGGCAGTTTTAATGTGTGGCATCTTTCAAAGTGCCTAAAAACCATACCATGGGTTGACCCAAGCTCAAATAGTAAAATTGGGTAGATGAAACTATTTGGAAGCTGTCGATAGTTGTACTAGCTAGGAGTCATTGTGAATAGAATTTGAGCTTACTGGCATTGTTGAAACCGCTACTCATGCCAGAGTATACACTCTCTCCAGTAACTGTAATTAACGTCCATTTTAGCATTGTTTCAGTATAAACAGAATGCCTGAGCAGGTATCTGCAGCAGGGATTGACTGGTTATCCTAGTAAGATGGTGAGCTCAGAAAATGAGTAGCCCATCATTTTTATATTATACTAGCAGTAGAGCCCGGCGTTGCCCGGGAATGTAACAGTAAGAGATAGATCAAGTATCGACCATCATAAAGACTGAAAAATAAAATTGACAAATATTATTTTTTAAGGTTGACTGACACGCATGTCTTAATTAGTTTTTTTGTTTTCTGTTTTTTTTTACGAATTGGTCAAACTCAAATAAAAACATTGTTTTCAATCGTTATGAGTCTACCATTTGAATAGAATTTTATGATAAACAATTGTCTTGTAAATGGAATTTTTAAAGCATTCTGAATGTAAAAATAAAGTAAAAAGTGTGCAAGACAATAAGAAACACTACCTGCCAAAAAAAAAAAGTGAAGTTTTGTTGAAATCGGTTGAAAAATGTAGGAAATCCGATCCCATATATAAATGAACACACACGCACACACACACAAACAACCTGGGTTTTATAATAAGTATAACTCGATATGAGTTGTCCCCTTTCATTCTCGCGACAACGATACCTCTTAATCGTGTTTTCAAATTGATTTTGTGCAAAAACAATTATGTTTTTCCAATTTTTGGCACTGTCAGAACCACCACAAGGTAATTTTATTTAGTCCTGTGAAGTTTTGTTGAAATCGGTTGAAAAATGTAGGAAATCCGATCCAATATATAAACGTACAGACACACACAACCTGGGTTTTATAATAAGTATGATATATAAATAATATATATATATATATATATAGTGGTACTCGCTTGGAAAAACCTTGGATATCTCAACTTGCAGTAGAACAAATCGGTACCTGAGGAAAAATGGGGAATAAAAAAAAGAAAGAACCAAGATCAAACAAGAAGATAATAATGACCCCATTTTGAAATGGAAAATATTAAAAAAATGTAAGTCAGGTGATAAGTTCTGTTCCTTATGCATGGAGGAAAAACTTGCTATTGTTAGTTATAAAGAACCTACAAATTTATTGAACCAAAAATCGGAAATTCTTAGTAGGTATAGGCATAGGAAAAGCTGGTTATTAGAGTAGGGTTTTTTTTTTTTTTTGTTGTTTAATGATGCCCCCCCCCCACCTCCATCGTTTGACTTTTATTTATTTATTTACTTTCTTTTTTTGTCACGTGGTCATGGTTTTTTTTTGGTCTTTACCTATAAATTCTGTTCATTATTTCCCTTTTCAGCCGGCATTACCTTGACAATCCTATTAGGTAAAAACCTAGGTAGGTTTCCCTGGCTCTTTAGGATTATCTTTTTTATATATATATATATATATATATATATATATATATATAATTGGACAACTGGAAGGTACAAGCACTCGGCCAAAATAAAAAAAAAAAAGCAGTCTCTCTTGCATCCTCATGAAAAGGAGAAGAATCCATGTTAAAAAAAAACTCCCAAATCCACACTCCCATCTGCCAATATTAATAGACAAAGTCTGGAAGAGAATATATATATATATATATATATATATATATATGGGACAACTGGATGGTACAAGCACTCGGCCAAAATAGGAAAAGCAGTCTCTCTTGCATCCTCATGAAAAAGAGAAGAATCCATGTTCAAAGAAAACTCCCAAATCCACACACCCATCTGCCAATATTAATAGACAAAATCTGGAAGAGAATAAGTAATAAGCCTACATATGAAAGATTTAGTCTTGTGTTTTCATCAGTCTTTACGATGATAACATTGCATAAGCCTTTACCTAAGTTTTAGAATTTTAGTTTTCAGCAAATTGTGACCAGGTGATGGAAATGCTACCACAAATTTTGGGACTGAGTACCATTTACTCAACACACTGAGGAAAACAATAGCAACTTATTGCCTGCTTACTAAACAGGTGATAGCCAAGCATTTTTTTTTTTTTTTTTTTTTAATGAAACAACTGAATTCAATTCTCTTCCCTTGATATTTGAATTAAATTTTCTAAATACCAATGTGTGGTTGGTGGTATCGATAACAATGAAAAATCAGAGAGTTTAGTTTGAATTCAAATCAAATTTGTTACAATCACTTAAGTGCCAGTACTCTTGGGGAAAGGTATGAATTCATCTTTTCTACCTCCAGCTATGGTTTAAATACCAGGACAAATTGGTTTCTGTAACCTAGTTTGACAACTAGTCTGCCACAGAATGTAATGGCAGCCTACTGCAGGAATTCTACTGCGAAGTCAATTAGGAATCGAAAAGGGACATGATTGCCCAAGCATGCATCATGCAAGGAATGGAATAACGGATATTATGTGAGAATAAATTTTAAAAATCCTTTCCCCACCATAGAATATGTACTTAAAATGTATAAATGCCTCACTGAAGTGGGAAGAGACAGTTTGCTTCCAAGAAGAAGAATCTACATTCAAAGGAAACACCTGAAGCCACACACCTGTTTGCCAATAATAACAATATTCAGAAGTGAATAAGCAATAAACTTACATATGAGAGATTTTGTCTTGTGTTTTTTTTATCTGTCTTTAAAAGGAGAGCATTACCTAATCAATAAGACCATTATCAGTCTTTACCTAATCTTAGAATTTTAGGATAGAGTGATCAGGGGACGAAAATGCTGCTTTGGGTAAAGGTTAGGAACGACTACCATTTACCAGGTATGTTTAGGAAAGCAGTTTCAATTTATTGTCCATTTACTAAACAGGTGCTAGCTAAACTTTGTGTTGTGTGTGTTTGTTTTTCCTTTTTTTTTTTCCTTTTTTTTTTTTTAACCAAAACAAATTAATGTTGTTTTTTTCATGAAGCAATTAAATTAAATTCTCTTAACCTAACAATTGGATTAAAATACCTATGCACCATAGAAAATTTACTGAAATTCTTTTGTTTAAAAGAGAAAAAAAAAGTGACTTGGTAATTACTTTTCTCCTGGAGTGATGCCTTTGATGTTTCTTTTATTATTAAAGGATGGGAGCCAGAAAGATGAAGACAATATCCCACATGTAAATAATGTAAATAAATATTTTATTTAATATTCTTCCCAATCAAACTTTTTGTTTCCTATAATTATTGAAAAAAAAATTGAGAATTTGAACAATTTTTTAAAATAAAATTTTAGAACAAATAAGTGTAAAAAAATCCATTTTCAGTATTTTCTCTTACTTGTGACCACTGTACAAGACGTGTCCCTTCATCAAACTGATTATTTTTTGATGATATGAGATTGTGAAATGGTCACTGTAAAATATGCCCAACTCCCTCAATTTGTTCTTAGTTAGCCAGGATTTGCAATAAGCTTCTTCATAGTCCAATGGTAACAGAAGATCATTTTTACAATTTCCAGCCATTGTTTCAATTTGCTAAGCCCTGAAGTGATCAAGCATTTTTATCTATCAAATCTGCCTTATTGACTCATTTTCAAGTAACCAATTTAGGACATCTCTGCTAATGTGAGATTTTAAAAGTAAAGATATTTCTTCTTATAAATGTCTGTTTAAATATGTGGTTGTTGTGCAGGTAAATGTTGATGTTATTTAGCAAATAAACTTTTAGACTCCAAGAAGTGTGTGTTTTCTATTTTTTCCTTTCGGCCCTTTTTTCTCCTCTCCACTTTTTTCTCATCCCACTTTTTCTCTTTCCCCGATTTTCTCGTTTTCTTTTTTCCCCTTTTCTATTTTCTCCCTTTTTCTGCTTTTCTTTATTCTCTTTTTTTCTGCTTTTCTTTATTCTGCCTTTTTTCCGCTTTTCTCTATTCTGCCTTTTTTTCCGCTTTTCTTTATTCTGCCTTTTTTTTTTTTCCGCTTTTCTTTATTCTGCCTTTTTTTTTTCCGCTTTTCTTTATTCTGCCTTTTTTTTCCTTTTTTTTTTATTCTGCCTTTTTTTTCCGCTTTCTTTATTCTGCCTTTTTTTTTTTTCCGCTTTTCGTTATTCTGCCTTTTTTTTTTTTTCCACTTTTCTTTATTCTGCCTTTTTTTTTCCACTTTTCTTTTTTTCTGCCTTTTTTTTTTTTTTCTGCTTTTCTTTATTCTGCCTTTTTTTCCGCTTTTCTTTATTCTGCCTTTTTTTTTTTTTCCGCTTTTCTTTATTCTGCCTTTTTTTTTTTTTTTTTTTTTCTTTATTCTGCCTTTTTTCCGCTTTTCTTTATTCTGCCTTTTTTTTTTTTTCGCTTTTCTTTATTCTGCCTTTTTTCTGCTTTTCTTTATTCTGCCTTTTTTTTTTTTTCTTTTCTTTATTCTGCCTTTTTTCCTTTTCTTTATTCTGCCTTTTTTTATATTTTCTTTATTCTGCTTTTTTTTTTTCCGCTTTTCTTTATTCTGCCTTTTTTTTTTCCGCTTTTCGTTATTCTGCCTTTTTTTTTTTTTCCACTTTTCTTTATTCTGCCTTTTTTTTTTCCACTTTTCTTTATTCTGCTTTTTTTTTTTTCTGCTTTTCTTTATTCTGCCTTTTTTTCCGCTTTTCTTTATTCTGCCTTTTTTTTTTTTTCCACTTTTCTTTATTCTGCCTTTTTTTCCGCTTTTCTTTATTCTGCCTTTTTTTCCGCTTTTCTTTATTCTGCCTTTTTTTCCGCTTTTCTTTATTCTGCCTTTTTTTTTTCCGCTTTTCTTTATTCTGCCTTTTTTTTTTTTCCGCTTTTCTTTATTCTGCCTTTTTTTTCGCTTTTCTTTATTCTGCCTTTTTTTTTTTTTTTTCTTTATTCTGCCTTTTTTTCCGCTTTTCTTTATTCTGCCTTTTTTTTTTTTTTTATTCTGCCTTTTTTTTTTCCGCCTTTTTTTTTCCGCTTTTTTTTTCCGTTATTATTCCTTTTTTTTTTTCCGCTTTTCTTTATTCTGCCTTTTTTTTTTTCCGCTTTTCTTTATTCTGCCTTTTTTTTTTTTCCAATTTTCTTTATTCTGCCTTTTTTTTTTTCCACTTTTCTTTATTCCGCCTTTTTTTTTCCACTTTTCTTTATTCCGCCTTTTTTTTTCCACTTTTCTTTATTCCGCCTTTTTTTTTCCACTTTTCTTTATTCCGCCTTTTTTTTTCCACTTTTCTTTATTCCGCCTTTTTTTTCCGCTTTTCTTTATTCTCCCTTTTTTTTTCTGCTTTTCTTCCCACCATTCCCTCTTCTCTTCTTTTCCTTTCCCATTTTCTTTTAACACTATGTTTTTTTCACATTCTCTTTCTTTTCTCCTAACTCCCCCTTCTTTTTAATCTGTTGACAGCTCAAGTTATAAAACTTGTAGAGATTGGTGTTAAGCCTGTAATATTTGTTTCACAATGTCTTATTTCAGTATTGACATAAAAGATTATGGCATTAAAAAAAAACTTTTTCAGTTTTAATTCATTTATTTTTCTTTGTTTTTAATCAAGTACATTACTAATTAAATGAATTATTGTCATTATTTTTCTCTGGTTTCATGATATTCAAGTATTTTAGCAATGTTGTTTCAATATAACATCCAAACTCTTTATTATTTTTATTTCAGCATGAAAAAACCTCTTCCATCAGGCTTTTTGAATCATTCATTGAGACTTACCAGGAATTTTTGGATTATGGGCTGAATACATTAAGAGAAAAGTAAGTGAATCATTTATATTCAAATTTGCGTGCTGACACCTATCTTGCAAAAGCACATACTTGTTAAAAAAAACAGAACAAAACTTTTTGTTGTAACCTAGAAAGTGTTACTGAATGAGGAATAACCAGAACAGAGGTTGGAAATGAAATGGTAATCTTTATAACATCACCAGTGGCATGAAGTAGGTCAACCAATGCTAGTGGTGGACTAATTAGACAGCATATTACCCACCACCTTACAATAGTGTCCAATGTATTTATGAGGATTGGGACATATTTATTAGTGTTCATAGGTAAGGTATATAACACCTTTTGTAAATTACTTTTGCATTATTTTCAATGCAAATTCTGGCTTGTTAGTTTAGACCAGCATTTCTCAACCAGTGTGCCTGGGCATACTAAGGTGCACTGAAATGTAGCCAGGCGCACCCCAAGTTAAAGTAATTTATGAATTATTTTTGTATTTATAGTTATTCTGAAGTAAAAAAGGTTGAGAAACACTGATTTAGACTAAATATAAAATGTCACGTCTGGATGATCAGTTAATGGATGTTAATAATATCACATTGGGTAAGTCACCAGGTAATGGGTGAGCAATGGAAGAAAGGTTTATTCCTAGGTTGTATTGCCCAGTTAAGATTATTATTGTATCCATGATATAATAACACCTTATTTCATGGATGGAACAGTATAGGTGAAAGAAATGTAATGACAAACATGTTTTCTTCTCAGGGAGAGTTTATGCCACTAAGTCATACAAAAAATTATACATATTTAAATTTATCCTATGCAAAGAAACTATAATATGTATGCAACAACAAGCAGTGTCAAAGGAGAAAAGATAGGGTCTTATAATAATTCCCAATGAAAGTGGAGCTGCTGGAGATTCTTCTGTGTTTCTGGAGAAGCCACATTTAGGATTCCAGATTCAAGCAGGTCAAATTTATCTGCTATATCACTAGCAAGGACATATTCCCCTCAAACAAGGAAACAAGTCATGGGTTTTTCCCAAATTGAAGACTACAAGCCAGAAATACTTCTACATCTGGTGAAGATGTATTTACATCGGAAAACAATGCCATGGGCCTGGAAACTGAGTGAAAAACTGACCACTTTCATCACACTATAGAAATGACTCATGTGACTCCGTCTCAACCAGAGTGAGATAATCGTCTTTTGTAGCCCTACAAGACATTGTACCAAAGAAAGGTCAGAATACATTAGCTGAAATACAAGATGCATTCCAGAATTTTTCAGGAGAGATGTTTGTTTATTTCAAGATAATGCAAAACTAATCTTCTTCAAATCGGACCCTCTGACTTCAATGATAATGTTGTAGCTCTCCAGCTACTACTGAAAGCATCTGGCAAGGTCTTTGTCGCAGTCTATCTCACCCACTCCATGTCTTCAAAAGGTTGATCTATAAGCAGCTTGATTATTTCATAGCTTTGCAATGTTTTTGCAAGATTAACACAAAACTTTATCAGAAATTTATGAAATGATCAAAACTGCTTATGGATTATCGTTTTGAGAATATGGAAAACATGAAAAAGGTTGTGAGAAGGACCCTGAGGATTGCTTTAAAGAAGTCACTGGAGGTCATTAAAATAAGAAGGTACTATTAGATTTTTGCAAAAGTTTGTACCCAATTAGAAAACTGAAAAGAAAATTTAACAAGAGGTAGAAAATAAATACATAACATTTCAGAGTTTAGGTGGAGACGTTAGAAGTATAGAGTTGAAGTAGACTTTAGAAGGAATCAGAAACCCAATCCTAAACAGCAAACAACGGATAAACCTCTACTCCTGTTCAAAAAAAATCTACTCCTACTGAAGGAAGAAAATAAATAACATTTCAGAGTTTTAGACTAGGATTTCTTTCATCTTCATTTCAATTGCTTTATTTCCACTAGTAGTATTAGTAGTAGTAATATTATCTGCAATTTTGATTAGATGAAGCATTGTCAAGCATTATTCATTTTGGACTAGGATTTCTTTCATCTTCATTTCAATTGCTTTATTTCCACTAGTAGTAGTAGTAATATTATCATGCACATGATAAAAAACAAAAAAACATTTATTAGTCAAATACATATTTTCGTTGTTTTTTTAACAACTGTCCCACATTGTTCTACAAGCTTGTTTCACAGAAACTTTGTCTCTTTTGTTGGAAGAAGGTAGTGAATAAATGAGAGTCCTTAGGAGCAAAAGTCTGGAGAATATGGTGGGTGCTATATCGTTCTATATTTCTACTCTTTAAACTTCTGCGAGGTCTGTTTTACAACATGCGGATTTGTGTTGTTGTGGTAGAAAATGACACCTTTTTGATTAGCCAAATTTAGTTTTTCTTGAACTCAAGTCTTTTCAAAGGGCAAAAGGCAGATATTGATTTTTTTTTGACTTTTAGTAATCTTTCCTATTGAAAGATTCAGTTTATTTTCCATGATGGCATGCAGAGCATCTTCAGTGACATAGGAAGGTCACCTAGGGCATGGTTGATTGTTTACCAATTTATGTTTTGGTACTGGTTTTCATTTTTTTTTTCCTTGATACCACAGTTTTACATTCAGTTTTCGTTTTTTAATTCAGTATTTTTGCTTTCTAAGGAAGCCATTCATTTTCTTACAAAAAATCTAATTCCATAAAATTTTAACATTAAGACAAAACTGGCAAGTATTTTTTTTTATTTTTACTCGCTATTTTATTGTTAACTTAATTTTATCACAAAAAGTTTTTTTTTTTTTTTTTTTTTTTTTCGAAAACTGAAACAAGTAGATTTCAGACATCATGTCGTATTTTCCTTTTCGTTCTGTTTAAAAACATTCCATGATTTCTAAGTATCATATTTGTCGTATTTCCTTTTTTCTTCTTCATTTCTTTTGATAACAAATAGATTTTACATTTATTTCCTAAAGCTTGTCACTTAAATGTTTTTAACATTTTGATTCAATCTTTTTCTCTTACAATGGTATAAATGCTCTTAAAATTTAATTTTATTAACAACTGAAACTCTTTTTCAATAGTGCTTTTTTCTTTTTGATATGGTCACTCAGTAGTGATAGCATTAAAGTGAATGATTTCACTTTCATAAAAAATTTCAATGTGGTTTCATAGTGTGAAGGTGAAGCCGAAACAAGTTGATTTTTTGGTTAAACCGCTCTTTACAGAACATCTTTAGTGACATAGGAAGGTCACTCAGGGTATGGTTGATCGTTTAGGTTAAAATCACCCTTACAAAATTTGCTAAACCACTTTTTGACTGTCTGAAGAACTGGAGTACAATTCAAATAAGCCTTCTGAATGTTTCTTTTTTTCTTGCAGTTCCTATTTTTACTCCTTTTCAAAATTCATAGAGCATAAGATGTCAAAGTACAACTTTCCATCCTATATCTTTAGGGCATTGCAGTCATTTTATATTAACAATGAAAATCAGAAACCAACTTTTGCAATGACCTGCTACTTTGAAAGAGATTTGTATTGTTTTGAAAAATTCTTCAAACTTCTGTAGTGCATGTTATAGGTGGATCAAAACCACTGATCAGAATTGTAATCAAAATAATTCATGGATTTAGGTTTCAAATTTTTTTCCAATCTTAATTAAATTTGGAGATTAATTATATTTAATTCAATTAAAGTTTTTCTTTGATTTACATTCAGCAATATAAGAAAAGATTTGTAGTTAGAATAACTGTGATTATATTGAAAAACAGAATCGGTAAGTTGAATTCAGATTCTGACCACATCTGTTAATTCTCTTAATCCTGTCAGTAGTCATATGCTTGTTTCAAATCTTAAGCTTATCGTGGGTATGATAATAAACTACATCTGACAGCAAGGCTTTTAATCAGGTTGTTTCAAGGAGTGTGGAACCACCTCTTAATTGCTGCTGTTCCAAGGTCCACTATGACCCTAGGCAGTAGCACCTGCTAGGGTTCCAGCTATGGGCAAATAGTTAACCTCCAAAGTAGAATCAAAACACTATGAAAGTATAAAAATAGATTTCTTTTGGAGGGGGGGCAAATTTACAAACAATAAATTTAAAAACATAATCCTCTTTACAAAAATATGTCAATGGAGCCTGATCTACAAACTGATTTTTTTTACAAAGAATACGTATTCTATTCACATGAGCCTATCCTAAAAATCTTGTCTTTAATAACCTATTGAGGTTGATATGCCATAAAACAAAATAAACCTAATTCCTAATTTAAAAACTAAACAAAAGAATACATATTCTATTTATATGGGCCTATCCTAAAAATCTTATCTTCATTAATAACCTATTGAGGTTGATATGCCATAAAACAAAATAAACCTAATTCCTAATTTAAAAAAACTGATTTTTACAAAGAATACATATTCTATTTATATGGGCCTATTTTAAAAATCTTATCTTCATTAATAACCTATTGAGGTTGATATGCCATAAAACAAAAATAAACCTAATTCCTAATTTAAAAACTGATTTTTACAAAGAATACATATTCTATTTATATGGGCCTATTTTAAAAAATCTTATCTTCATTAATAACCTATTGAGGTTGATATGCCATAAAACAAAATAAACCTAATTCCTAATTTAAAAACTGATTTTTACAAAGAATACATATTCTATTTATATGGGCCTATTTTAAAAATCTTATCTTCATTAATAACCTATTGAGGTTGATATGCCATAAAACAAAATAAACCTAATTCCTAATTTAAAACTGATTTTTACAAAAATACAATTCTATTTATATGGGCCTATTTTAAAAATCTTATCTTCATTAATAACCTATTGATTTAAAAACTAACCTAATTCCCTTTTAAAAACTGATTTTTTTGAAGAATACATATTCTATTTATATGGGCCTATTTTAAAAATCTTATCTTCATTAATAACCTATTGAGGTTGATATGCCATAAAACAAAATAAACCTAATTCCTAATTTAAAAAAATGATTTTTACAAAGAATACATATTCTATTTATATGGGCCTATTTTAAAAATCTTATCTTC